GGTAGAAGGGGAAACTCCACTTTGAGTAAACGACAAGCTCTAAGCAACTGGAAAGAAACTCAGAACTCCGTCCTTTGAGGGAGGCGGAGGCTCCCTGACCGGCAGAAACAACAGACTACGCACTGCGCCTAGCTGCCCACACGCCCAGCGCCGGCCTTACCCCAGGATCAGCAGCGCGCTCTGCAGCCGTCTCCGCACCTCCAGGAACACGTGCGTCCCCGCCGCAGGTGCCGCCATAGCCTGCGCCCAGCCGCAGGTTCAGGCGAATACAGGCCACCACGGCCAGAAGCGGCTGCACGTGCGGCGGCGGCGGCAGTGGCGGCGGGGAGGGCCTCCGCGACCAGATCGCGGGATGGACACAGCCCGCCAGCCCACAGCGCCACCTGCCGGGCGGAGAACGCGCTGCCGCGAAATCTCGACCTGGGGGCGTGAGCGTTTTCAAATCCTGGCTGGTGTCTGAGCGGGAACAAAGGTGGGCAGGGAGAGCCAAACTGTCCTCCCACTCTTCTTCTTGTGGGCGTGGCCCGGTGCGTTAGTCTCCCAGGATGTGACCTTAAAAATCCGAGCCCGAGTACACTCCTTTGCCTAGAGTGGGTAAGAATGAGGCTGGAAGAGAGGGGGATGACGGAAGGAGGAGGTAGAGGCGGGCACTGGCCACAGGAGGTTCGAGAGCAGATTTCTCCACCCAAAACACAATCTTGTTTCGTTTTTTAATAAACTACAGTATCTTTTTTACGAACCATGTCAGTCCTTTGGTAGCTCTCCTCTTGAGACAACAAATGTCCAGGATTGACCTGGCATGGGTTCTGGATTTAGACGCAACTGCTCTAAGATAGAAACAGTTGAAAAAAATGTTAAGTTTTCTGTTATCTATACAGAAGAGAGTGTGGTTAAATCCAGTACCATGAATCACAGGATTAGCCATTCCTATAACCTTTGAAAAAACGAGGATGAGAATGATTCCACAGGTACATTTCCACTCGTCATGTTTTGTGGAAGTAAAAACTGATTCACAAAAGTCAATCTTAATACTTCTAGAAGATAATTTCGGAAAGCTTGACCTAGTAAAGAAAAGGCTCTACTATAATGTAAGTACTTAAAAGGGGGGGGGATACTTAAAATGGGGAAATACTAAAATATAAGGCTAGGGTGGTAAATTTACAATAAAGAATTCTTTAAAAACAAGAGGCTGAGGGTGCTTGGCTGGCTTGGTTGGTGGAGCATTGGAGGCTTGATTTCCAGGTTAAGTTCGAGACAAGGTTGGGTATAGAGATTACTTAAAAATAATATCTTAAAAACAAAACAAAACAAAAACAAGAGGCTGTTAGGTTTTAAAAACAGAAATGATGGCTTGTATTCAGAAAATCATGTTTATTGATAGCCTCTTAATGCGAAGATTTTCCAAATAACAAATCCACATCCCTAGAGATACTATTTTAAGACAAATCTTCTTAAAGTCAGTATTTGCAGTTCTTAAAGTTTATTGTGGTGCTTCACAAATTCCTGTATCCACCACAATAATTCAAAATCATGGATGGAGGTAACAACGTAGTTAAAAGAATTGTTTTCCACTATTCCACCTCAAATAATGGTGATCATGGGTGATGATTTCAACTAGTATCTTCCACCTTTAGTTCTTAAAGCTATTAAGTCTTAAATACTGCCACATTCTATTGAAATATTTGTCTTAGCACAACATGCTCTTCATACTTAGTGTTTGATTATTTTTAAAGATTGCTATATTTCAGGGTGCCTGGGTGGCTCAGTTGGTTAAGCGACTGCCTTCGGCTCAGGTCATGATCCTGGAGTCCTGGGATCGAGTCCCACATCGGGCTCCCT